CCCGAGAGGCGGGTTCCCCTTAGGGGCGTAGGGGCTCTGATTCCCGACGGCGGCTGCAGTGGGCGCAGGCCAACGTGGAAGTGCAGAGGGGTAAGCGGTCCCCGCGCGCCCTGCCCGGGGCCACCCCGCCTTGGGCCGCCCAGCACCCGCAGCCCCCGAGTCCACCAGGAGCCTGGAGGAGCCCCGGGAGCCCCGGAGGCGCGGCATCCACGTGGTAACGTCTTCCGCGCGCCTGCGCCTCCCCGAGCGTGTGGGCTGCGGAGGTGCTCCAGGGGGGTGCCCACGAATCCGGATGGAGACTTTAGGGGGGAAGAAGAGGACCAAAGAAGCGGAGAGAGGAAGCTTTTCTCCCCTCCGGAGAAGCTGTATCTTCTTGATCTCTGTCACCTCCGACCCCGCCGCTCTCGTGGCGCACCCTAAGTGTCTGAGGGGCAGCGAGGAACGGGGTGCCCCCGGACACACTCCATGGGTTTAGACCTCACAGCTCGAGAGGGCATCTTTGCCGGGCCAGGACGCTGCCTTCTTTGCCAAGAGGAGATCCCCAGCGGGAATGAACCGGCGCGGGGTTCCCCCCAGTCTTCCTTCCTGCCCCCAGCCCCAGGGGTTCCCAGGAAAGCCTTGGGGTCATCCTGCGCCTCCCCAGCTCGGTTCTCCTCTGCGAAGGGCCAAAGCATCTCAGAGAGGACCCGGAGGGACGCGCACGCGGCGCTTGGGGGCGCCAGTGGTGGCGCGGGGAGCGGCGAGGCTGCGAGACCAGCTGGTGCCCCGCGCAGGCTCCCAGCTCCATCCCAGCTCCGGGCGCGTTAAGCGAGGTCGGTGGCTTTTGCAGAGTGGCTGAGCTTGCCCTTCCCAGGGAGGAGGAACTCCCGGCCAGGACGTAGGGGCCCTAGGAGATGGGTCTTGGGGGAGCTCAGATCCTCGGCTCTCACTCCTGACCTGCCCACCCCCGCGTGTCCAGGAGCCTGAGGTGAACTGGTCGCTCAATGAGAATTTCTGGATTCCTTCACCCTCACACACCCCAAAACCTGCCGAATTCTAACGTGTGGATTTAGAGCGGATCTCTCCCAGGCGGTCCAGCTTTGCATGTTTCCTTTCGTTTTTTTTTTTTTTTTTTTTTTTTTTTTTTTTTGGGTGGTTTTTTTTTGAGTGGGCCATAAAGACAGAGAGAGACAGAGAGACAGAAAGTGAGAAATCACCGCCCAAGGGGGATGGCCACACAGCAATCCCTTCTCCTCCATTCTCCTCTCGAGCCACCGGGTCCAGGACTCTAACCGCCGTCCACTACATGGGAGTCCAGCAACACAGTCATTACGTTAACTGCTGGTCCCCAGCTTTACATGTTTCTGTGTCCAGCCCCGAGTCCGTCTGCCCTGAGATTTCCTGATTTCTGATTTCAACCCTGGTGGACACCTGACAAACCCTACGGCTGGTGCTCTGCTCTCGGGGTGCCTCACAGTGCCACGTGCTGTCCTGGACATATCACAGACAGGGACAACGCCGCTGGCAGTCTACGGTCCTTCTGAAGAGGACTTCAGGGCAAAGGCAAAGGCAAAGGGTAGCTAGCTAATCAGGAAGGCAGCAAAGCACTCCAGGTGGCTCCGAGGGCGTAAACTGCCGCTGGGTTTTTAAATTTTTTAAAAATTTTATTTTACATTCATTCACTGCACATCACAGCACACAAAATGTGATTTCCCATCCAGAACACATTGATTGTTGACTTGAACATACATGTTTTCGTCAACAGATTATTGGGTGCCTCACAGTGCCACGTGCTGTCCTGGACATATCACAGACAGGGACAACGCCGCTGGCAGTCTACGGTCCTTCTGAAGAGGACTTCAGGGCAAAGGCAAAGGCAAAGGGTAGCTAGCTAATCAGGAAGGCAGCAAAGCACTCCAGGTGGCTCCGAGGGCGTAAACTGCCGCTGGGTTTTTAAATTTTTTAAAAATTTTATTTTACATTCATTCACTGCACATCACAGCACACAAAATGTGATTTCCCATCCAGACAGAACACACTGATTGTTGACTTGAACATACATGTTTTCGTCAACAGATTATTTTCTATTTCTTGTTTCTTATATGTTCTTGTTCTTTCTTAAAAAAAGAAAAACAAACAAGAAAACCCAAAGGAACCTGGAGACAATTCGAAGATGCTTTGCCCATTTCTGTGGTTCTGTCTCTACCTGGCACAGAAACAATATGCCACAGAGGCAGGCCTCGCTCTTCCCAGAGGTACTGGGGACAGAAAAACACAGGCCATTGGAATCATGAGACACTCCCGAGCTCCAGGTACCCAGAGCTTAGGTAAGAGCTCACACAGCCCCCAACGCTCCAGAAGCAATTAGGCAAATACAGTTCATCAAAGTTCACGTGAAATTTACTTGTGCAACGCTCTTTAAGTAAAACTTAATTGCAGGCCAGCTAGTAGCGTGCTGGTTAAGGAGGCTGGATCCCACATGGCTACCTCCACTGTTCTAGTCCCAGACCTGGTGGCTTGGAAAAAGTACCAGGTGCACATTCACAGGTGCCTACAATCCCAAGAAGAGAAAGGAGGAAGAACTGCTAAGTGACCGTCCCATCCATCCCCCCACAACCGGGGAGTGCCTCTTTCCATCTACCCTCTTCTCTTTCTCTTTTTTTCTATGTCTTTCTCCAGTAAGTACGTGTGCCCTATAGCAAATTTTAAAAAATAATAATAACACACAATCACGCATATGGAATCAAAGGTTAAAATATACACAGCTAAATCTTAGGATAAAAAGGAGGCAAAACCTAATCCTGCTCATGACCCAAATGCCTTCTGTAAAATTGTTTGACAGACAGAAACAGACACCCCAATGTGGACAAGTAGACATCGACTAACTGCAAATAACCAGTTTTCTGGATTACTGGCCTACCTCCACATGTGTTTCCCCTGTGTGTTTTCTTTCTTTCTTTCTTTTTTGAAAATTTTTATTTATTCACTTGTTTATTTCAACTTGACCAGAGAGACAGAGAGAGAGAGAGCAAGCCATCAAGTCTGGGACTGGAACCACGGTCAGTCATGTGGGAGTGTCCAACGCCTAAACCACCACTCCACCTGCTCACCTGCTGGTCCCACCCCGGACACAAACTTCATATGTTATTTGGAAAAGTAGAGTTTTGTGCCATTTGCCACAATGTACTCAGAGAGAAAGTGCATGGCAAGACCACGCAGAAGGACAGGGCCTTACCTAGACTCAAGCATCGCGTACACACCTTTTCCTTCACCCATGTACACCCTCTCTGCTCCATCAGCTCTGGGATCACTTAGGCTCCATGGGAAGGCCACACCTTCTCAGCAATGGTTTTAGATCTTGGTTTCACTCTGCCAGCAGAGGTGGGTGAGGAGGGGCTTGGCCCTGAGCAGGCTCACAACCCAAATACTGTTTGCTATCTGAGTACTGGGAGCTAGGGGCTTCAACATCCGAGTTTGGGAAAAGAGGACACAATTCAAGCCACAACTGATTGATAGAGATAGAACATGTTAAATACTTGGGGGAAGAGTATGAAAGGCATACTGAAATCCATCAGATGTCCTAAACGTAACGGGGAGCTGCTATATGTCTTAACATGGGTCAGCCAAAGTGCGGTGGTTAAGGCAACTAGATCTTCCACGGCTGACTGCATAGTTCAAAACCTGGACCCAGCAGCTTGAGAGCATGCTGGAAACGTGTGTGTGTGTGTGTGTGTGTGTGTGTGTGTCCCCAGAATCACAAAAGAAAAAATGGAGGAGAAGGGATTGTGGCAGGACCAATCCCAATGGGGGAAGTTGTCTCCCTTTCCTCTCTCTTGGATTCTCCGGCAAAAATGTAAAGAATAAAATGTCATTTAAATCTCAGGCTAGCTAATGCAATGGTTGTAAGTGGCTGGATTCCATATGGCGACTGTGTGATGGGAGTGCCAGACCCAGTGGCCTGAAAAAACATGCTGGGTGCATGTGTGTGCACATTTGTGTGCACAAAATCCCCAGAGGAGGAGGGAGAAAGGGAGAAGGGATTGCAGTGTGACCATCCCCCATGGAGGGTGCTTTATCGATTTCTCTCTCTCTCTCTGGCAAATGCACATACTTTTTGGCAATTTTTAAAGCCTTTTCCACCACCATTTTATCTCTGGTCTGTGTTCATGATATTAACTCCTTTAATTTCTCTCTATACGTGACTGATGGGTAAGTTTGCTCTCAGCTGCATCTGAGCATGGTTGTCAAGATTCTATGGTGGCCCAAAAGAAAAAAATCATAAAAGCAAAA